GTACACACCCACGTACACAGCGCTTATCCATCGATCATAGTGAACACATTCACAAGTACAATCAGTCGGTATGTTACGAATGAAAGAAAATACGAGAAGAAAATGGTTGAAATATCTCCATTTATTCACTTGTATAGTGAGAAAATACTATAGTTGTCCATAATTTTGATATTCCATGACTTTCCATGACTTTCCAATGGAAAAAATAATTTTCCATGACTTTCAAGGCCTTAAAAGCAATAAAGTAAAATTCCATGACTTTCCAGGTTTTCCATGACCCGTACGAACCCTGTATTATACCGCTGCTCTGCAGGATTTGCTGGTTGTAGGAGGGGTGTCATCACATATGGCTGGCATCCATATCTGAGTGAACAAATAACATTTATAAAGAAAGGGCAATGAATAAACAAGAACATTGCATCATTTCGAGGAACTAGTCCAACAGTATGAGTGATTATTTCAATAAGACAGGAATACATTCAATGAGGAATTGCATTATTAAAAAGCACAATGAAATTCAGTCAAATCATCTGTAATAAATCTCAGGTAAGTTTTATGTTTGTGCGAGTAAACGTAAAACAGAATTGGGGTAAAATTGTGAAATAAAAAAATTGCCTGAGTAATGAAAACCATATTCAATTCAACTAAAGGCTATTTTCATGATTTGTTTAAACCTAAACAATTTTTTCCAGCCATTTAAAAATGTTTTCTAAATCAAAGAAGTCTACGAAGGTGGTTTAATCTGTGATTAAACAAAAGATTGAGGCGGTTTAAATCATGCCAACCCTGTGTAGAAGTATTATGATTTTGCTTGCCTAAACAGGCCAATAGAGAAAGAGATGTTAGTGTGTAGGCTTGTCATACTTTCTGAATGACATAACACGAAACTCAAAACTTACCAACTATCTCCTAATAGCCACTTGGCATCCTGCCTCTCGGCCTCCAGTTGGTGCTTGATGGCAGACTCCCTGAAAATTCTGGAGTCATGAGACCCACCTTGCCATCATGCGACTGCGTTGAGGATCCTTCCGTCACAGTCACATATCATCTGTAAATCAAACAACAATGGAATAGGGTATTATTTAATATTTACATTTGAATTAAAGGTAAAGACCAGTATTGGAAACGCCCCAATTTCAAAAAATGAAATGGAAGCTCTCATTACCAATCATGTGAAAGAATATGTTTTGACTAATGCATGATGATACAAAAATTTGCCGGGAAACCGCCTACTAATTCATAATTTGTTAAATTTGTTTCTCTCATGGACTGTGAGAGATATAGGGTAGTCCCATATACATCTTTCTGTGTATAGTGCTTGTAACTTTACGAAGAATGGGCCAAATTTCTTATCATTTTGATGATTCCAGAACCTTGCAGATGCTAGATGCTAGATGATCAACCTTTTCTGATCGATTCCACAACGTTTCTTTCACAATGCAATCGCATGACCATAACTGGTCTTTACCTTTAACATACAAACAAAAGTAATATACCAGTGTCTGTTTTACATCCAACTACAGTAGCAACCTAAAAATGCATAGCTCTTATAAACATCTTTGCAGAAGTTTCCTTTGTGTTCTCCATAACAGCTTCGAGGAAGGGAGAGCCCATCCTGTACACTTTCATCGAGAATGCACATGTACACAGAGTAATACAAGATTCAAACGACAAACTTAGTTACTAATAATTATTTTGAAGTTTTCATCATTTATATAAAGGCCTTGACCACATCTACACTGTAAATGGAATGACAATTTACACACCGACACACAATATCATCAGAGCAAACAGTGCATTTAACATAATGCATGGGCGAGGGTCATTCCACAACCGGCCCCCATGCAATCAATGCAATGCAGAGTGCATGGTTCAGAATGGTTATGTCTGTGAGTTATGACTACCGTGGCTACTCAAAGAGGTGTTCTGTCTGAGGTGAAAACAACCTATGGACCACATGTAATATCTAGAGCAAAGCAGAAATACAATCTGTTGTTTATGTAATTAAATAGAACAAATGTAGGCCTATTTAAAAAATACAGTGATTTCAATTTACCTGCACATTCAAAGAAGACGTGTTTTTCCGATTTATGAACCTCTGCGCTTGTTCCCCACCTGGATTTTGTATGGGCACATGGGTGTTGTCCACAGCACCGATGACGCCTGGGAAAGAGAAATTTACAAACATCAATATCATGCAAGGTACAAAACGTTCTGGCTGCATGAAATGGAATCCATAGAATTGTTTAAATTATTGGTCCACTTTTACTATTGAATCATAAAACAATTATGTTAATTTTAAAGCTCTGCTCATGCTCTCTAGCTACATTATAGTAGGCCTACTGTATTTATTAAATGACATCTTACGAACATTACAGAGTAGATCTATGTGATTTTACAGGCCTTAAATTTCAATATTTTAGGGCAAGGTCACTTTTCTGTAGGGCACACTCCTATATTACAGCACAGATAGGAAGAATTGGAAAGGGCACAAAAAATCTCCAAGGCCAATGAGAGGGGCATTGAGGCCAATCAAAAGGGCATCCACGGCCATGGCCATGATGGCCTTGGATTAATTTAAGCCCTGATTTTAACAACATCTACAATGTAAATTATCATACTACATGAATACATGTACACATGAATTAACGCGATACACTGCTAATCGTAAATATTTCCAAGTACTAGCTCCATGCTCGCCAAGGGCGCATTAAATCATATTTTAATCAAGTGGTGAATTATTCAATTTTAAATTTTAATTTTAAATCCCTACCTGGGAACTGAGAGTAATCAAAGAATCTCTGCTGTACTCTCAAAACCTCCTGTGGCGTTCTCGGAAACTTTATGTACCTTGGTCGGAGAGTAGCCAAAGCGGTTGACACGTCTAAGACAACTCGTGACACGGAGGACTGAGACATCAAAGCATCATCACCATGAAGAATTTGGAAAGATCCTTTAAAAGCATAAATTAAAGAGAAAAAAAAAATTCATTACAACATTTAAATCACCATTCTAATACTAGCTATTGTAGTAGGCCCTAATTGCTATTATTTCTACATCAACAGGTGGTGATGAGTAATAGCAGTAGACCCATACTAAGGCCATAGAGAATTCACTATACTTGTTCTAGGCCTAGGGTCTATACATTTTTCTTAGCATTAATTCTGGACTTGAAATAAAGTCGTGTTTGAAATGTTGAGATCAATAGAATAGGTTTTAATACACAGCCAGGAGTAATGCAGCTATGTGTGCGAGGAAGGGGACCCCAAAATGAAAATGTAATTCCAGAATCCATGATTTTATGATAAGATTGAGAGTTAACTTAAGACCCAGAACTTTGCAGAGGCAAATAAGTAACAGAAAATTACTGAAGTCATGACGCTGCACTGCACTGGGCAGATTTTTTAACAGATACGAAATTCATGATAGGCCTATAGCAATGTCAATGGCAATGGTATTGAATGACAACATTGGGCAGACGTTGAAAACGTAAAATAAATTGCATCGTGCGGGACTAGTCTGTAACGACTGTGCATGCACGTGTGGTTGCCCTGAATCTAAATTAAAATAAGACTAAAATGGGAGCATCGTTGGTAGTTTAAGAATGTCGTTATTTGTACATAAAAAAAACGAAGAATAAGACGCATATATCAGAGACAATCGAAAATGTTTCAAACTCACCCACGGCGTAAAATCTCGAGGCTGTTAGAACCTGTAAATGGACAGGCAGTGCATCCCTTCGAATGGTGTGCCGAGCTAGCGTAGGGCTCAGAATATCAATCAACTCCAACGTAGTCTGCTTTGAAAAGCGGTACCTATATCTAAACTCGGCTTCGTTGTACACTTGAAATGGATCTTTCCTGTTTACTCTCTCTACTACTTGCTGCTGGTGCTGATTAAAAATATTCAGAAAATTCTCATAATGCTCGAGGTCAAGGAGCAAACTTTCCGCAAGTTCGGGGTCAGCAGGTAGAGAGTACCGTACACGTTGAAAAGCAGCAGAATCGCGCCCTTAAACAGGACTTAAACAACCCCTCGCAGTTGTGTTAAGTTAAACAGGACTTAGACAGGACTTCGTGTTTAACTTTATTTAAACACGACTTCAGAATACAAAAAAAGTTAGACAAGATTTCGTGTCTAAAGTTAGACGGGACTTAGACAGGACTTAGACAACTGTTTAGTTAAACAGGAGTTAGACACGACTTGAGAATACAGGCCAATGCCTCTTGCTACTCCGTTGCGGAGGCATAAAAACCACTATAACTAAATTTTAGAACAGATTATCATGCATTAGTCAAGCTCATTACTCTCTTAATGAATACAATTCATAATGCGTAGTGACCCTGATTAAAACAAACCAAACACTCTATACTAGTATCAGCTCATCTCTGTATATGGATGGGTAATGAAAAAATAAATAGAATACAGTTTGGCATATATTTCGGCTACCGTAATTAACGGTGTATTATTATAAATTTTTTGTTAAAGTTTCGATTTATGCCCCTCCACCTGGCGCTATGCCTGGCAATGTCTCCCAGCTCAGTAATCGGTGAGTTGACTCACCACTCGGAAACTAGAACAACACTCAAATTTGTCTGTCATCTTGGTTTGAATGTAATCTTTCTGATATATCTCAATATGTAGTTTATAATAATAATTCCTCCAATGTTTCTTCTATTACACGGCGTACCACAAGGTTCTATCCTAGGTCCTCTACTTTTTTTAAATTTACATTAATGATCTTACACATTCAGCTGCACCTCGCAGTTTTTTTATTTTTTTATTTTTTAGGATGAAAAAGAGGGGTGCGGTAAATACATGAGGGCGGTTTATACACCGTTAATTACATGTAAGTAAAGATATGTACATGTACAGAGAGCAACCCTATTATTCATTCAAATCACCTGATTTCCAATGGCATATAGTTGATTATATTATAGACACATGTGGAATTCCCTATATGTTACATCCCCCCATTTATGCAGAAAAAATGAACTTACGACTGAGGAACTCCACCAACACCTACTCCAACCAAACCTCTCAATATAAGAATCCAGCCGAATGTAGGGGCGAAACTGCTCGCTATTCCAAAATAGAAGATCCACACACTGGCAAGAATCAGGCCCTAAATATATACACATACGAGAAAAAGCTCTGTACAGTAAGTATGGACACAATGGTGTTTTTTGTTTTATCGTTACTTTGGTCAGTGAAGCTGTTTAATGAATATGACAGTTAATTTTAAATAATGTATTTTATGTATAGTGTAACTGTTTGATTTAAAAGCCTGAGATTGAGAGAGAACACATTATTGTGATAGACATTACGTACGAGGCACCAATGGTTGCAATTCATGTCACTTGAAGTTCTAATTTATTCTGGTAACTGGTATTTATCTTTAACTTGGTCTGGTTTGCTTGAAGTGTACCAATCACATAATGAATGTGAAGCTGTTAGAACTCCCTATTTTATGATGAACCTAATGAGTCCATATGAATCCTGTATTTTTGTGAAATCACAATATGTTCATTCATATAGTAGAGGCAAAAATAAGACAACATACAAATAATTGTCTATACTTCGAAAAATATAATTCATCTAATTTAGTTGGCTTGCAACGAACAGTCACATATAACGTGTCACGTTCACGTTTTGCACTGTTTCGTAAAATTGGTGACTCTAATTTACAAAGTGTAAGGACTACCATTCGTTGTTTTCCACACAGGTAAAACATGAATAATCACATCTACCAAAACGTGACGTGAGTGCTTAATCAATATTTTTAAAATTGCAAGTGCTTGTTACTAAGACTAGTCATGACGTCAACCGTAATATGCATGATTTGTGTATGAACGAACGTATCGCCTGCTCCTAGCTAGCTGACAACGCGTCGCGACGATATCGACAAGGACGAGGCCCGCACGTTTCGACGACGTGGCGATCAAGGCTAGCCAGCGTTCAGAGAGCCGCAGATTATCGATGATACAAAGTGAGAATGTAAGAATCTTTGGGATGATTATAAGTATAACTTTTCAGCTGTTGTGATTTCAGCTAGTATAGACTCTGTAATGACATGCAATACTATCTACGGCTACGCGGCCACGGCTTAAAACGGCTTTGCCACTGCAGTGGACTTTGGGCATGCATTGGCCTAGCTACTGGCCTAGCCTGGCCGAGCTTCCTGGGTACCGGGTGACAATGAGTCGAGTGAAACAGAGTGAGAGTAAGAATGGTGATGGCCTGGCCTAGTGTTTCATAAAGATGCATGATCGTAAAGTTATGCATGACTTTTTGAACGACTGGAAGTGGAATATGGCAAGCCAAATGGGCGTCTCATTCATTTTTAATCATTAATGATTAGCTAAAGTTGAAATATGCAGATGATGATTACGAACATGCATCTTTATGAAACACGAGGCCAGGCCATCACCAGTCTCACTCTGTCTCACTCGACTCATTGTCACCCGGTACCCAGGAAGCTCGGCCCAGGCTAGGCCAATAGCTAGGCCAATTCATGCATGCAAAAATGAATGCCCAAAGTCCACTGTCGTGGCAAAGCCGTGTTGAGCTGTGGCCGCGTAGCCGTAGATAGTATCGCATGTCATTACAGAGTCTATACTAGCTGAAATCACAACAGCTGAAAAGTTATACTTATAATCATCCCAAAGTATACTTACATTCTTACTTGAGCTCAACACGGCTTTGCCACGACAGTGGATTATCATCGATAATCTGCGGCTCTCTGAGCACTGGCTAGCCTCGATCGCCACGTCGATCATTGCACCGTACAAGATACTTTATTTTATATATTTACATTTTATTGTACATTATATATTTTTTAGATTTCGTAGATTGCATTTGGCAAATCAACACATTGTTGGGTCACAACACTTTGTAGATTTGGGTGACCTGTTTCACGAAAGGGCGCAAGACGTGAACGTGATACTTGACTGTTCGTTGCAAGCCAATTTAGTTCACTTGATTAATCTAGTCTAGTATCATACAGAGAGAGAGAGAGAGAGAGAGAGAGAGAGATAGTAGACATTACCGGTAATCATCTTACTCACCGATCTTCTCCCAAATTTGTCACAGATCATACCCCAGACGGTAGAGCTAAAGAACATACCAATGAATACAACAGTTGTGATAAGGGCTTCTTGCCATGAACTTAATCTCCATTCACATCTCAAAATAGGAGATAGGATTGACAAGATCATCATCTCCATTGCATCAGCCATCTGTTAAATGATAAATATACAACAATCAGTTTAGTTATGTTGATCATTTTATTCTCACATGTTTCTAAAAAAGGTACTGTTTTGAAGATATTTAATGTTTTGGGTATCATCCATGACCTCAAAAAATGTCTAGCTTGTTAATGTCACAATGGGTTCGAATGAATTTACTCAGATGTGCACAAGAGTCATAAGAATGCACAACTTCAGCACACGCACCGGGAGAGGACTCATCGGGCCGCTAGCAGGCTGCTATCTGACGTGACCCGAACAGCGTTATCAAGAAGCATTCGACAGCAGCCGCCGCCATGTAATAGAAGAAAAATTTGAGGAATTATTATTATAAACTACATACTGAGATCTTTCAGAAAGATTACTTTCAAATCAAGAAAACAGACAAATTATCTGAAATTTCCCTGAATACCAACTCTGTGCACAAGTTGAACAGAGATGGGGACATTACACATCCCTGATGTACTCCTCTTTTGATTTTTGTATATCCTGTAATTTCATTGTTAATTTTGATGGCAGCTGTCTGCACACGCGGATCCACAGGATTTTTTAGGGGGGGGGGGCCAAATTTGAAATTATGCGAGCCAAATATTGGTACGCAGTGACGTAATTGGGGGGGGGTTGGGTGCAGGGAGGGGCGAATTTCCCCCATCCCATCTCCGCGAAGCGCGGAAGCTTTGACATTTAAATAAATTATTAGAGAAAGAAGACGATTTGTTGTACCGTTCCCAAAAATAATCCTCGTCTGAAATTAGTTTCCCCCTCCCGCGCGAAGCGAGGGAGCTTTTACGTTTCATTAAATCATTAGCGAAAGAAGACGATTCGTTGTAGCGTTATGACTTTTAATCCTCGTCTAAATCTATTTTCCCCCCTCTCGGGCGAATAACGGAAGCTTTTACGTTTCATTAAATCATTAAAGAAAAAAGACGATTCGATGTACTGTTCTCGACTCTTAATCCTTGTCTAAATTCAGTTCCTCCCCCTCCCGCGCAAAGCTTCAACGTTTCATTAAATTATTAGAGAAAGAAGACGATTCATTGTACCGTTCTCGACTCTTAATCCTTGTCTAAATTCAGTTCCCTCCCCCCTCCCGTGCAAAGCGCGGAAGCTTTGACGATTCATTAAATTTTTAGAGAAAGAAGACGATTCATACCGTTCTCGAAAATTATCCTCGTCTGAATTCAGTTCCCCCTCCCCTCCCATGCGCGAAGCGCAGAAGCTTTGATGTTTCATTAATTCATTACAGAAAGGAGACGATTCTTATTACCATTCTTGACTCTTAATCCTTGTCTGAATTCAGTTCCACTCCCCCTCCTCCTGCGCAAAGCGCGGAAGCTTTGACGTTTTATTAAATTATTAGAGAAAGAAGACGATTCGTTGTACCGTTCTCGACTCTTAATCCTTGTCTCAATTTCGAAAATGTTCTTTGTCTTCTCCCTTTTCTTCCTACGTCCTCTTCCTTTTCACTCCTCTCTTTTTTTGGCCGTCTTTTTTTGGACCACCCCACCGCCCCCCTGGCTACGCGCTTGCGGTCAGATGAACATATGTTGATACCTTGTCCGCCCCCGGAAGTTCAGGGGTTTTAGGCATTTAATTACGGTCAGATGAGCATTATTTTGATATCTAATTGTGACACTGGCAGGTCACTAATTGGCGTGGGGTTCAGGGGGCGGAGCCCCCGGAAGCTCAAGGTTTTAGGCGTTTAATTACGGTCAAATGAGCATTTTTTGATACCTCATTATTTTGTGACACTGGCAGGACACTATTTGGCAAAACAAAATGGCGACTTTAGATGGATGTTCGCAGCAGCTCTGTTAAACGGTCCCTTCCTTTACTTTTGCAATGCATTGGCACAAACTTAGATCAAGATCTATCGACAAATGTTGTGTTAGGACGTTTATTTTCTTCTTCATGTCAACATGTATAGTTATTTTACCATTCGTAGTCCAATATGTGCAAATTCGTGCTGGTTTTGACTTTCATTTTTTTTTTACTCTTTCGCCGTAAAGGCCGCAACCCGACTTTTTGATATTTTCTCTTCCAAAAATACTGCAGCCTTTACGCCGGCAACTACGGAACTCATTATAATGTGACACTGGCAGTTAACTATTTTTTCTTTCTTGCTCTCTTTCTTTCTATTTCTCTTTCATATACTTTTTCAAAAAGGTGGGGGGGGGGGGGGGGTCGAGGATCCCAATACTTGCCGTTCCACAGGCCCTGACATGTAGGCATCTCAAGAAGCATTTTCTTGCCTTGCTGTAAATTCAGGAATTTGTCATTTTCCAAGGAACGCATATATAAAAAAGTATAATTTACTTAACTCATAGCCTGCCATAAGGCTGCATGCAAGCTATCATTATAATGGTTATAGCAGGATTAACCACAACTGATCTCCCCTACTTTTCTCCCTTTTCTTTTCTTCTTCCTCTTTTTTGTTCCCTTTTTAGCTCTCTTCTTATCCCTTTCCTTCCTTCTCTCTTTTTTTTAGCAGGGGGGGGGAGGCAAGGGCCTTTTGCCCCCCCCCCCCATCCCGATTCACAACTTGTTGGCTGGAAAATTGCAACTGATGTCCCCCTTCTTTTCTTTTTTCTTCTTCTTTTTTTCCTTCCCTTTATCTCCTCTTTTCCTTTTTTCTTTCCCTTTCCTTCCTTCTCTTTTATTTTATGATGGGGGGGGGGAGGCAACAGCCTGGGAGGTAAGTCCTTTTGCCCCCCCCCCCCCCATCTCCTTCTTCCCTCTTTTTTTAATATTTCTTCCTCTTCTTTTTTTCCTTTTCTCTCCTCTTTCCCTTTTCCTTCTTTTCCTTCTCTCTCTCTCTCTCCTTTTTTTTTGTTGTTGCGGGGGGGGGGGGGTGCCCAAGGTCCACTCAGCCCCCTCCCCTGGATCCGCGCCTGGCTGTCTGCTCTCAGTAAGTTGAGATATGAGACCTATGTTCTTACCATCCAAATTAATTTTTTGTAAGCTTTTGTAAGTCAATAAAGCACAAATTTCTTCGTTTACTGCATTATACCTTTCTGTCATCATTCTCATACAGAATATGGCTTCTCTAGTACCACTTTGAGGTCTGGACTATACTGTTCCTTTCCTACTTCATTCTCAATTTGAATTTTTATTCTGTTGAGAATGATCTTTAAAGAGCAACTTGGTTACATGGCTCATAAGGCTAATTGTCCGTAAATCTTCTTTGAAATTGGCACAAATATTCTTTTAAGGCCACAAGTTCTGCGCATGTTATCACATCTGGGCCTTCAGATTTAGAAGTTCCCAGTGAATGCAGAGCTTGTTTAACTTCTGATTCAAGTTTACCGTACTTGGACCATCGTTGTCAGCGATGGGAAGTTCTGGACCTCTGTCATCATCAAATAGGTCTTGGATATATTCTTCCCATCTTTGTTTACTTTCTTCCTTTTCAAAGAGGGAAGATGTTCCATCTTCGTTCTTGACACATCTGCTTGCTGCATTTTTTATTATTTTTTTTAATGCTTGATTTCTCTGTGCATTTCATTTGTTTGGTTTGTCTTGGAGAAATGCTCAATTCTAACACATTTTTTAGTTATACATTCTTCTTTTGCTCTTTTACATTCATTATCAATTTCCTTTTTGATGTCTCTAAATAATTTGGAGTTTCTCGCTTATTTTTGCCTCTCCTGCATCAAGTTCAGAAACTTTTTTGTCATCCATGGTTGTTTTGCTGGTTTCATTTCCATGCTGAATGCTTTTTTTCAAGCATTTCCATTCCACTTCTAGTTTCCCAATGTCATTTACTAATTTGTTTGTTTGTTTTATTTCTTCTGTGACTAGACAATCATACCTATTTTTAACTTCTATGAGGTATTTTTGTGCTATTTAGAGCTGTGACATCTGGAAGAGGACTTCTTGTTGTTCTGGGATGTATTCTTTAGCTTTATTTCGACTTCTGCAATCACCGGGTTGTGAACAGAATCTATGTCAGCCCCTGGGCATGTCTTTACCTGCTTGATGCAATTCTTGAACCTATTCTTTATTAATGTAGTTGATCTGATTTCTCTTTACATCTCCTGGGATTTTCCAGGTGTAGGTTCTTCTTCTATGGTGTTGGTACTTCTACTACTACTAATACAAAGAAGAAGAAAAAGAAGAAATATATAGGATTTCCAAAGTGTCAAATCCACTTGAAATCAAATGCTTGAGGCAAATAAGGGTCACAGGGCTTAAGGACTGTATGGATTCAATAAGGGTAATGAACTGTGTAGTCTTTGGGCTGAAGCTTATATAAAAATACTTACCCAACAGAACCCTGTCAAAGCTGAGATTCTGATCTGATACCATCCAAATCCTATAGCCTCCACAGCTTGCTCTACCGTAAATTCATCTGTACAGATCAGAAACAGACATGCAATTGGGTATACATGTGTAATCACTTGATAGATATATATGTTACATGTAGGTAAGGTGGGATATTTGTGACCTATTAAAAGTTGAACTTACAGCATGAAACTTCTCTTCTTCATTTTTTTTGGTCATCATCTTAAAGGTACTATGTCCCTTTTGCAGCCAACCTCAAATGCTGTAGAACTTTGCAGGAATTATGAATATGTCATGTATGTCCTATCTGTGAAATTTAAACGTTAGCAGTGTCCTCATATTCAAATTATGCGAGGAAACCCTTTTACTTGCTAGACTTCACTATGTCAGACACTATTGAGTGACTGACTGGCTTTTTTCTTCTTTGGTAATAACATACATGAAAAGAGTTGTAAAGGGTACATGAGCATTTGTCTACATCAATAACCCACTTCTTGTGATAGCCAAGATTAAACTGATTGAATCTTTGCGCAGCATAAAACGTAATACTATTCAGTACAATTGTCTGAAAATCAAGACTATTACTTTTGGGCTCTATAGCCCTAAAGTCGATTTGACAACTAATAGTCGTTATTTTCCCACTTGAAGACATTTTCAAGCCCCACCTTTTTTAGGGAAGTTCTAAATTAGTATTATCTTTCAAATGCAGTTGGAATTTAACCTTTTCATTTTTTTGGCCTGCAAATGGGACATAGCACCTTTAAAATGCCAACACATGAACTTAATATCATAAATATGTAAAATAGTTATATAAAGATCAAATGAAGTGGACAAAACACAGCAGAAAACAGATATCAGTTATTATTCAGAAAATAAATTATTTCAGAATGTAATACATGTGTCTGATTACTGGACATGAAACAACATTTTCAAATTGTAGATTTCAGGAGATTTTCATTGAAGAAATCAATCAATTAAAGCAAGTCTTGCCTCATTACAAGTATGAAACCGTCTTTTCTTTTGTTTTTAAAATTCATTAACCCTAGTATAAGTATTTTTTTTAAAACATGAACAATGGCCTACCATTTTTCATGACTAAGAAATATCTATGCCTGGAGAGCTATTTCAGTGCATCATTTGACAAGGCGAAATTAAAAATGCCAACTATCTTCAAATATTCTAAACTTGTTTGAAAATACATTGAGAGATAGCAGTTGGGGTCATCCATTCAATGAGTCTGAAAAAAGACTGACATGTTCGAGGCCCATTGTGCTGTACAATATAAAATCCTGAAAAAGCGTGAATCAGGGGTGATAGTGTGCACTAAAGAAAAAATAGGTTTTTTGTTTTCCCCTCAACCACGCCCCCCTTGAGTACAAAAACTAGATGGAATTTTGACTGCGCGCAGTCGAAAATGATGCCTCCGCCATAGAGCAATTTTAAAAAGTTTGGAGTTTAAATCTCCAGTGGTTCTTGAGATATCATGATAACAATCTCAATGTATGGAATTTCAAAAGTTGACCTCTGTGACCCTTGACCTTTGACCTACATGCTCCAAAATCTAATCAGATTGTCTTCCTATGGTGATACACACTATCATTAAGTTTGAAGTTTAAATCTCCAGGGGTTCTTGAGATATTATGATATGGTGATACATACTATCAAGTGAAAATTCTCCAGTGGTTCTTGAGATATCGCGATAACGATCTCAATGTATGGAATTTCATAAGTTGACCTCTGTGACCCTTGACCTTTGACCTACGTGCTCCAAAATCTAATCAGATTGTCTTCCTATGGTGATACACACTATCATTAAGTTTGAAGTTTAAATCTCCAGTGGTTCTTGAGATATTATGATAACAATCTCAATGTATGGAATTTCATAAGTTGACCTCTGTGACCCTTGACCTTTGACCTACATGCTCCAAAATCTAATCAGATCGTCTTCCTATGGTGATACATACTATCCTTAAGTTTGAAGTTTTTACATCTCCAGTGGTTCTTGAGATATCATGATAACAATCTCAATGTATGGAATTTCATAAGTTGACCTCTATGACCCTTGACCTTTGACCTACGTGCTCCAAAATGTAATCAGATTGTTTTCCTATAGTGATACACACTATCACTAAGTTTGAAGTTTAAATCTCCAGTGGTTCTTGAGATATCATGATAACAATCTCAATGTATGGAATTTCATAAGTTGACCTCTGTGACCCTTGACCTTTGACATACGTGCTCCAAAATCTAATCAGATCGTCTTCCTATGGTGATACATACTATCCTTAAGTTTGAAGTTTAAATCTCAAATGGTTCTTGAGATATCGCGCTAACAAACTCAATACAAGGAATTTCATAAGTTGACCTCTGTGACCTGTGACCTTTGACCTACGTACTCCAAAATCTAATCAGATCGTCTTCCTATGGTGATAAATACTATTCCCGAGTCTTAAGTTTAAATCTTAAATGGTTCTTGAGATATTGTGATAACGGTCAAACGGGACGGACGTACGAACGGACGTACGGACGGACGTACGGACGGACAACCCGAAAACATGATGCCTCCGGCACCACCTTCGGTGGCGGAGGCATAAAAAGAAGAGAATTCGCAGGGAAAAAATGGCATCTAACAACATTTCCCCCCTTTCGAGTTAGAAAATTGGGGAAAAAATAGGGCAAAATAGGGAATGATAGAGAAAATAAGGGGGAAATCAGGAAAATGGGGATAAAATAGGGAAGGAAAAAAAATCTGGTAAAAAAAAAAAAAAAAAAAAAAAAAAAAATTTAAATCGGGAAGAAGAAAAAAAATCGAAAAAAAATCGGGAAAAATCCAAAAAATTGGGAAACCGATTTAAATCGGGTTTTTATCAGGCCTGGTGAATAGGGGAGGTGTCAGGGCCTGAAAACGGGCATTCTTGTGTAGTGTAAGTCTTCAATACGAAATCTGTCTTAATAATATGCTGCATGTGCACTTTATTTTTCTTTTAAACATTTAATCCAAAACAGACATAGCAATCCAATGAATATCTCACCTTCACATTCTCCTCTAGCCGATGCTTCAGCCTGACCATCAAAGGATCCAAACCCTTTTCCTAGAGGACCATCACGGGAAAAGGTTCCTAGACCACCACCCCAGCCTAGGTCTACTTCATCCATACTGTTCCCTCCAATACTGTCCCTTGAGGGAGAGTCATTTTCACCTCTTCCCACCTCCGTGCTGCTTCCTTTGCGAAACTTGACCATTGTCAATTGGACCTTAAGAGATAGACAGCTGTGAGAAATGGAAAATAGGACAAGTTGGATTATTTGTTCCTAACTAGATTACTGATTTAACCTTTAAAAGGTAATGCAAAGTTTTGGGAAATTTTGAAAATTGGATGGATACTGAAATTCTTGAAAATTTTGATACATTTGGATCCACCTGTGGAAGTATTATAATCAGCAGAAAATTTATCCCCTAAAACACTTCTGCTTTCGAGAAATTGAATAATGAAAATTTATGGGTGCTCCCAGTAAATTTCAAATATTTCAAATAGCGCCCAAGGCCATTCCATGGTAACTGCAACCATGAAAATCTCAGAATATGCAGTTCTGATACATAATTTCCAAACAGGAATATCAAATTGGTTGATTGTTGTCAAGAATAATTGTTTTAAAGCTAAAGTAATATCAGTCTTGAGAGGAGGCTATACAACATAAGAGTTTATAATTTACAATTTCATCACTTCAGACTCAATTTCAACCTCGCAAAGGATCATTGAATATTGTAAAATCGCATATGCTTCCAATATGTTAATTTAAACCAAATTCATGACCCCATACCAAAACTTTGTATTCCCTGTAAGTAAAACCACAATTCAAAATAGCATGCTACAACATAATAGAACTCAATAGGCCTGTCCTCATCAGCTCGAGTTTGCCAAATAGCCCATTATTTCTGATTTGGGAAATTAGCCGTACATACTTTAGTCTATGTATAGAGGTAGTCAGCACGTAGAACTTTAGCTTAAATTCAGCGCATAGCCAAAACGTTCATCAGCATCCTTTAATAAAAAAAGGTTAAGTACTTCACTTAAGTTTAAGTCTTACGTAACCAGACCTTTCGCCAAGAAATTAAAAAGGTGTGGCGCGACCCGAGGGAAATTTTACCCCCCCCCCCAAAAAAAAAAAAAAAAAAAAAAAGTAATTAAAAAAATTATTAAAAAAAAAAAAAAATTCAAATAATTTGATAAATTTTTATCCTTGTATTATATTTTGGGTCATTGTCATATTTACCCTTGCACTAAATAATATAAATTATCAATGTTATAGTAGTCTATGTTGGACTTTGTGAAATTTGTTATCCAATGTTATGAAGAAAAAAAATGTGAGAATGATCCTAGTTGTTTGGATTTTTATCGGGCTAGACCTAGTCATGTATTTAAAGCTGTAATTATTTTCCTTCTATTAAAAACAATATTGCATTTTCTTATTTTCACAAAATAAGCAGTACTCAAATTTCTGCAAGTCTTTTACTTTATATTCAAGTAAAATAAATCCTCTGTCTTAAAATGACATTTATACACCCCGTCGATCCCAAGACGCCAGAGCAATTAATACAAAGTCTGAAAAAACTGCTGACGTGTTTATACGCCCTTGTCATTATCATGGCCAGTTATTATTTGTAATTTGCTGGAAATTGTTCTTTAAAAATGAGAAATTCACGAGTTTGAGTTGGATTTCACTATATCATACTTATGTTAAAAATTATTGTTGAATATCTGAATTTGGCTAATCTGAATAACGGTGAGCTTTTATTGAGCGATGTGTAAACATGCAGCCACAAATGAATTTGAACATTTTGATTGACTGCAGTAGTTGTTTAGTAACCAGACATAATCAGATGAAGGCATGTACTTGCGAACCCCCTCTGAGGATTTCTAGGACCTGAAAATCCGGAATATTCACATTTTTAAAAAAAAATTCAATTTAATTTAATTTTTTTTTTTTAAAGAAGGCGTCATATTTTAAGGTAAAATTCAAAGAAAATCACAAATACGTTAACTAATGTACCACTAAAAACTGGTAAGCTAACAGATGGCCACAAGTTTTAGGTCAACTACATATCGGGTGATTTATAAAAAATACAAATACAACCACCTCCATAGCAGCTTGGATATACGAGAGATTGGCCGGGAAAATAACAATGTTTTAATGACGTAACTATATGGACCAACACCGCCCAAGCAGACGACATCCCATAGAGAATGAACATAATTGCAAAGCTATTATAACTCAAATTATAACGAGTTTAGTGTATATAAATGTAATGGCATGTCAAACCATTCAAAAGGGTATATGACCCGATTCTGATAACTAAAATCTTTTGCTTGTAAATACACAGGATAGGGGTTAATTAACAATCAAAGAAACCAGACTTTCAAATTGAAAAACCCCCGGAATGATATTGAGGACGACATTCGTTCCCTCTTGAAACGCCGAACATACCCCGGTGTGTGCAGCTGAATATACAATGGCGTCTTATTTTGTTTACAAGCGACAGATTCCTTTATTTTTGTATCGCCGCATTTTTCATCAAAATAAAACCATGTGCGGGGTTTACAGTGAGGCAATAGATTATACATTTAGCCTGACGGTAGTGAAGTAAGAGAAAGAACTCAAGAGAAGATGAAAACGCAGGCACTGAAAATGTGTGAGATGTCATGGGACATCGTTTGCTTGTGCAAGTCATGTCCATACTGTGAACTCACACATCCCAGCAGCGTTCGGAGAGCTCTTCAAGTGCTATGCCGGGGTTGTATTTAATCGTTTTGTAATTTATAATAATCATTACTTTGAATGTTTCTAAGCATTGAATTTTGATAACCTTGTCGAATCAAAGTTTCAACTTTGCAATAATGAAAATAAAGTTCGTTTTTAAAAGCAATGAATATCTACTTTAAGGTACAAACTGGAAATTATTCTGAAATGTTCGTCGATTTTTCTATTTTATGTGTGTGCAATTTCATTTGTGCTTCAGTTATGTGTGAAATGCGTAACCTGTTTAAAGCATGACATGTAAAAATCTCTGTGGTGTGACTAGGCCCGAGTCAAAATGGTTCCCCGCTAGGTCCCCGAACGTTGCGCCGAAACCCGGGTTTGAATATTCAAGTTTTGGGTTTTTCAAATTTAAATTTCATACTGATATTTTGAAATAAAGAACTAAAAATATGCAATTCACAAACTTCTATTTCAATTTATTTTAATAAATATGCTTTAGAAATAAATGGAGGCTGCAAGAAAGGAATCACGCTTTGTGGTACCGAGTGTGTTCAGAAACGGAAGTGGAAATATGACTCACTGAAGACTGAGCAAGTTAAGAAAGTCCCACACACAAGAATAAAATGTTGATCAGACTATTACAATTAAATCGTAATACTACAATGCCTATGCCAATTCTAGTCTGACATGGATTTGTTGCCAATGTGGGCTTCCAAATATTAGTCCATCCCTCTTCCGCACTTTGAATGATACGCCAACAGATAATCCATTTAGTTGCCTGAACAACACCACTGAAGTCAGCATAGATAACTGTTCCAGCGACACAATATCATCAGATAGTGGAAGTTTCCACATTGGATCACCAAAGGCCACATCATCTCCAACCAGATCAAAGAGACAAGTTGGAAAGAATTCTACCAACAACAGACAGCAGACTAAAATCCTGAAAAGTCTACTTGTCAACTGTGATGGTCTGGTTAACAAGCTACCACATTTGGAAGCCATGATTGATAACCTCAAGCCAGATGTGATTATAGGAACTGAATCCCATTTGAAACCAAATATCTTGACAGCTGAAATAACCCCACCAGGGTTTACAACTTACAGAAAAGACAGAATCCATGCAAGGAAAGGAGGTGTATTTGATATGGTGAAAGATGATCTTATCACAACAGAGTGCAAGTTCGTAGAATCAGGAGCAGAAGTGCTTTTCATTGAACTGAACATCCAAGGTTTCAAGAAATTAATCATAGGCTCCTTCTACAGACCACCAAATTCTGACCTTGCTAACCTCCATGGCCTTGCACAAAGTCTGTCTGATATATGTGCAAAGTTCAAAGATCCGATCCTTATAGTAGGGGGAGACTTCAATCTGGCCGATGTTGACTGGACAAAGAGAACAGTTAAGCCATATGCCACTGAAGCAGCCAAATGTTCAATGTTGCTTGACATCTGCAATGACTTCTTTTTGGATCAGATGGTGAGGGACCCCACCAGGATATCTGGATCCACCAAGAATATTCTGGACATATTTTTAACAAGTCACCCCAACTTCATCCGTAACTGCAAAGTCACTGCAGGTTTGAGTGATCATGAGGCAGTTACCTTTGAGATCAATTCCAAACCCAGATTAGCAAAGAAGGCAACACGGAAGATCTACATTTTCAGTAAGGCTAATGTTGCTGACCTGCTACATGTATGTGATATTAGGACCTTTCAGGTAGATTTCCTTAGCAGCAACCCGAGCTCAAGATCAGTGCAAGAAAATTGGGATTACTTCAGATCGAAAATCATTCTCCTTATGGATACACACATACCATCTAAGATGTCAAAACCAAACAGATCTAGCCGTTGGATCACCAACAAGATACAGAGAATGATTAGAAAGAAGCAAAGGCTCTACAATGCAGCCAAGCAGTCTGGAGAGTGGACGGCCAATAAGGAGTACCAGAAATTGCTGCGGAAAGAGATCAGACATAACTACTGGACTTACCAAAACAACATGTTCACAAGTGATAGCATGAACAAAAACAACAAAGCCTTTTGGAATTATATAAGATCTAAAAAACAAAAGGCAACTGGAATATCCTCTCTCACTCCGCTGTACCCCCTCCAACTACCGTCCAGTGTCTATCACAGCTATATGCAGCAAGATCATGGAACACATCATCTTTAGTCAAGTGATGAACCACTATGATGACAACAAAATCTTAAATGATTGCCAACATGGATTCCGTTCTGGGCGCTCTTGCGAGACACAGCTAGTAACAACGGTTGATGAGCTAACAAGATCTATCGACCAGAGAGAACAAGTCTATTCCATCGTATTAGACTTCTCTAAAGCTTCTAAAAGAGTCCCTCACGAACGCCTCTTGCTGAAACTCCACCACTATGGCATTCGAGGCCACTTACTGGAATGGATTCGGGCTTTCCTTACCGAGAGATCTCAACGGGTAGTTGTGGATGGTCATACATCTGATTGGTCTCACGTTTCATCAGGCGTCCCCCAAGGAACAGTTCTCGGTCCGCTCCTCTTTATCACATACATCAATGACATCCCTAATGGAATCTCCTCCAATCTGAAGCTGTTTGCAGACGACTGTCTCATCTATCGTCCCATTCGTAACTTGTATGATCGCCATGCCCTGCAACAGGACCTTGATCTTCTTCACCAGTGGTCAGAAACCTGACAGATGAAGTTCAACATTGATAAATGCCACCTCCTTCGGTTCTCACTCAAGCGCAACAACCTGGAAGGAAACTACCATCTTGGAGATGTTCAACTTTCTGAAGTCAAAGAGCACAACTACCTAGGCGTTCTACTGACCAACAACCTGTCCTGGCAGAAGCACATCAATGGCATGACATCTAAAGCAAATCAAATGCTTGGTCTCATCAGTCGAAATCTCAGAAGATCCTCCCAAAAGTTACGGCAACAAGCTTTACACGTCCATTGTCCGACCCCATGATGAGTATTGTGCTACAGTATGGAATCCATCAACGAAGAAAGACACAGCCAAAATTGAAGGTGTTCAAAGACGTGCAGCACGATTTGTCATTCAGAGATACCACCATACTGAAAGTGTGTCTGCCATGATCAATGACCTTAAGTGGGATACCCTGGAGGAACGTCGACATGCTGCATGCCTAACCCTACTGTACAAGATTCAACATGGCCTCGTAGCAATAAATCCAGATCAGTTTGTCACACCTATGACTCAGAACAACACTAGGCAATTCCACCCGAATAAATTCACGCTAATCACTGCCTGTACTGAGCTTTACAAACACTCTTATTTCCCACGGACAGTTGCAGCATGGTACATGCTCCCTCCAGATATTTTGGTTTTTTCAACAGCAGAAACCTTCCAGGGAGCCCTTTTCCAGAAACGCCATTGATGGCTGAGAATTGTTTTTACTTGCACCTTGTACATAATACGCCAACTGACTGCACTGCACAAGAGCACCTTGCCAGACATTTCAACCTTGACGTTTTATCCTGACTGATGGATCCTGTCAAGTACCGACGTAGAAGTAGAAGTAATAGGCATAAATATAATTGTCAAAATATATCCACAGCATAATGGTTTACCCTTGATATTTTGATGAAGGAATATAATTTAAAGCTCTTGAAAAAACTTCGAAGTGCTATCATTCGTTCTAAAAATGTGTGTGTAACGGCAAACTGAAGCTGAAGTTCATATGTGTGTTTACATCGCTACACCGTCATCCGAGCTGATCGGAACAGTAAGCATGAAACCAATTAAAAAACTTCACGTAAGGCTTTCAGGGACTCCAATTCAAAAAAATAAAAAAAATAATAAGGTTTGACAAATAATACTGTAGATATTCATATTATCTTAGAGAAATAATGATATTTCATGAGCTACGTACGTACTCGATATCAAGTTCAGCTAGCCATCATTTTGAAATGAGACGTAATTGTCATGCAGTGCAGTAGACTTTAGACAGCATGCGGCAGCTCTTAAAGAGGAAAAAAAGGGGCAGAGAGGAAAAAAAGGGGCAGAGAGAAACTAGATGGAATTTTGACTGCGCGCAGTCGAAAATGATGCCTCCGCCATAGAGCAATTTAAACAAGTTTGGAGTTTAAATCTCCAGTGGTTCTTGAGATATCATGAAAACAATCTCAATGTATGGAATTTCATAAGTTGACCTCTGTGACCCTTGACCTTTGACCTACGTGCTCCAAAATCTAATCAGATTGTCTTCCTATGGTGATACACACTATCATTAAGTTTGAAGTTTAAATCTCCAGTGGTTCTTGAGATATTATGATATGGTGATACATACTATCATTAAGTTTGAAGTGAAAATTCTCCAGTGGTTCTTGAGATATCATGATAACAATCTCAATGTATGGAATTTCATAAGTTGACCTCTGTGACCCTTGACCTTTGACCTACGTGCTCCAAAATCTAATCAGATCGTCTTCCTATGGTGATACATACTATCCTTAAGTTTGAAGTTTTTACATCTCCAGTGGTTCTTGAGATATTGTGATAACGGTCAAACGGGACGGACGTACGGACGGACAACCCGAAAACATGATGCCTCCGGCACCACCTTCGGTGGCGGAGGCATAAAAAAAGAGGCACGCGAATATCACGTGATCTAAGACCCACGCATTTTTTCTCTCTCTGCTAGCATACAAGTCAAACCAGGGTTCGACAAAACCTGTGATGACTCAGGCCTAGGTGTGACATAATATTATGTATTGACATGCCATCAAACTTAAGTTGCGCTTAGGTTAAGTAGGCCCTCTCTTACTTAAATTCGAAGCAACTTGAGCAGATCGATGCGCAAAGTTCTTTGTGGTCAGAGGAGCCATATTCAATCTGAGCGGAACAACCGTCGATATCAGTTCAGAAACCGAAGCTTTTGGTCTAGACAAGACTATGCGTCTTTCCCGAGGCCCACTCAGGGAAAATACGGTATAATACGACTACAGACGACGCGACCGCAGTAGGCCTACGAAATCATGTGAGTGCAACATATGCCAAACCGAAGCGTGAGGAGAACTTCGGTCCGTTTCGCAAATGCTAGCGCTGACCCAGTTAATCAAGTCCATTTGTTTACGTGCAGTTGTCCAAAAGAAGACGTACACATGTATGAAGGGGTAACCAAAGTTCGCGGACATTTTAGAACAGCTTACAAAATGTGATATTTTCGATCTATGATTTCTCATATTCTACACAAATTTATTTATTTAAATTATTACCAAATAGACGGCAAAGTTTTTTTACTACAGATTGATGGAACTACAAAATTTATCGTCGAAGGATTTCAGAGATATCGCGATCTAAAAATTTGATGTTCGATCGTGAGTGCGCGCTGCATCTAAAAAAGTCATCTCAACTCTTAATCCTTGTCTGAATCCATTTTCCCCCTTCCCGCGCGAAAAGCTTAGACGTTTGATTTAATTATTATAGAAAGAAGACGATTTTAGTGCACTGTTTTGGACTCTTATTAAGCCCTATTTATCTGAATTCAATTTAATTCATTCAATATAAACAACGACGAGACCTAACTTCACGCACGGGGGTTTACAATTGATTTATCAAAACATGTGATCCATCAAAAATAAGGTAATATCATAATTTGCAAGGCAATATAGTCTATCATACAATCAGTTGGTAGGGTCTACCACTTTTTACTTACAATGAATTTTGAGTAAATCTGCTCTCAAATTGAAGATTTTCTGACCCTTATCGGTAAATTGATAATTTTTCGGAACGGACGCAAAAGATCTCAGCGGACCAACCATCGATATCATGACTGAAGCTTTCGGTCTAGGGTCTAGATCTAGCTACCCCTTGTCTACTCCAGGAAGCTCCGACACCGGCGCCGCAGGAGCTTCCTGGACTGTCTCTCGAGTTGCCCCTTGTCTAGACCGAATTTTCCATCTCTTTCGTTCGTTAGCCTCTTAATGGGGTAGGGTCGGCTCTCTCTTTAGAGACGGAAGCCGACTATACGCATTCCCTTGCTAACACCATGGCCATTTATTGCCATATTTTTATGCCCCGAAAATCCCCCCAAATGTCATTTTACCTCGTGCATGTTATATTGTAAATTAGGCCTAGACTCTAGGCTATAATAAATCGGTTCCACTTACAAACTTGACTGAAATAATCAGTTTCATGGTCCCTAAAAATCTTGCAAGACGTATTTTAACATGGATTTCGATTTTGACCCATAATTTCCTAAAAAGGGACCATTAAACTGATTATTTCAGTCAAGTTTGTAAGTGGAACCGATTTATTATAGCCTAGATCTAGAAATCTAGGCCTTATTTATGAAGGGGTGACCAAAGCTCGCGGACATTTTAGAACATATTATTACAAAATGTGATGTTCGATCTATGATTTCTCATATTCTACACAAATTTATTCATTTCAATTAGATCTATTACCAAATGGATGGCAAAGTTTTTTACTACAGCTTGGTTCAACTAGAAAATTTATCGTCGAAGGATTTCGAAGATATCGCGATCTAAAAATTCGATGTCCGATCGTATGTGCGCGCTGCATCTAAAAAAGTCATAAAAGTAACGAGACCTAACTTCACGCATGGGGGTTTACAGTTGATTTATCAAAAAATGTGATTCATCAAAAATATATCACGAGTTGCAAGGCAAGATAACATACAATCAGTTGGTGCCACTTTTTACTTACAATTTTGAGGATTTCTGCTCTCAAAATGAAGATTTCCAGACCCTGGCCTTAGAAAGTAACTTAGATCTATCGGTAAGTTGAAAATTTGCCGATCTTTTGTCAATATTTTCACAATTTCGTTTCTGGGTAATTTTGTGATCCTCTTTCCATTAGTGATATCAGATTTTCGAAATCTTACCGATTTTTAGAGAAAGCGAACTTTGGTCACACCATCATACAATAGATCAACATGCACGAGGTAAAATGACATTTGGGGGGATTTTCGGGGCATAAAAATATGGCAATAAATCAATGGCCATGGTGTTAGCAAGGGAATGCGTATAGTCGGCTTCCGTCTCTAAAGAGAGAGCTGACCCTACCCCAATAAGAGGCTAACGAAAAATGAGACGGAAAATTCGGTCTACCCCTTGTCTACTAAACTCGGGAAGCTCCAACACCGGCGCCGCAGACGCCTGCGGCGCGGGTGTTGGAGCTTCTCGGAGTTACCCCTTCCCTTGTCATGCCTAGCACGTCACTGTCCCAAGCCAAGGCTTAGGGCTAGGCACACTTGTTGTGTTTTGCAATTTACCATATTTTATGGAATTAACTTACCTCTAGACCTATAACATAACTAAAGGCTGATGGATCGTGTGGGTTTTATTCGACAAATCACTAGTAGGTACTCTCGTGCACGGATCAAAGACTCGTCGTTTAAATGACCAAATGGGTGCAACTAGAAATTCAGTGAGTAGACCTAAGTGACCTCGAAATTTGATGTGAGATCCCAGAATAGAATGCGCTGGCCGAGTGCAGTGGCGTCTTTTTTTAAACCTAACCTCGCCACAAAGACGACCCGCCACAATACCCTGGACAACTCGCCACGGTCGAGTTGTCCAGGGTGGGGTGCCTTTTCGGACAACTCGCCACACTTTTTTCCCCCTCGTGATTTCTAGATCTAAAATCCCTCATTTTAGATGAAATTGTCATTTTATGTATTCATCATTCTTTTATGAACACAGTCATTACAAAAATAAAGAATAAAGCTGATTTCCCTTGCAACAATAATATTTGACAAACCGAATTAGGCGTACGATCGCAAGATCATTGAGATACGGTATTTAGATCAAGACTCTAGGTCTTTAACAGCTGCAGCATTCTGTCTCAGATTTTTTTTAATGGTAGGATACTGGAAGCACTGGCGTACTGATGGGGGAAGGGGGTGGGCAGTTGACCCGCGAAATAAAAATTGAAATGTGGTTTATTTCTAGATTTTCTGGGTTAGTTTCGTCAGAGGCGGCATTCTTCGTTGGTGGGGGCGGGGGGAGCACTGTGCCCCCACTTTTTGCAGGTTCCCCTAAAATGCCCCCTTATCCATTGTACATGTCCTTTTCCCTCTTGATAATTTTTAATGGTAGGAATTCATGGAAGGATACTGGAAGCACTGGCGTACTGATGGGGGAGGGGGCAGTTGACCCGCGAAATAAAATTGAAATGTGGTTTATTTCTATAGATTTTCTGGGTTAGTTTCGCACTTTTGCCCACAGTCAAAGGCGGCATTCTTGGGCCCTAGCATGGGCCCATGGATGCTCATCGGACCGTTAGTACATACCTAAAACCCTGTGGCTAGTATGGGGCTTAGGAAGTGAGAAAAGCAAAAAAAGTTAGTCCGGGGTTAAGGATAGTACGGGGCTATAAGCAAAGTATGGGATTAAGCAAAACAAGTGTGAAAAGAGTATTAGAGTGGTGGCGATGCAGATTTTTCTTCTGCCCCAAAAACGTTTTTGCGCATTACGCCACTGCCCCTGGAATATTCCCCCCCCCCCACCCCCACCCAACCCAATCCCAAAGTGCTTCCGGCCAAATTGGTTGCGATGTCAGGAATGCTCGTTTAACCTCTTTGGTAATCCTGGCAGTGACAACAAATATATTCCCCACTGAAATATAGTACTACTCTACTACTACTACTACTACTACTACTACTACTAATAATAATAATAATGATGATGATGATTACAATTTAACGACGACGGTGATGATGATGACGACAACGATGACAACAATAATAAAAAGTACTAATAATAACTGCAAGAAGGACAACAACACAGTAAATATCATCGAGGTCACCGTTCCCCATGACATCAACATCGCCGTCAAAGAAAGAGACAAACGTCTCAAGTATGAAGACCTCAGGATAGAGTTCGAGAGGATATGGAACGTTCAATTCATTTTAATTCAATTCATTTTATTTCAATTCATTTGATATCATTCTCCATTAAAACATTAAAACATTAAAACATTGCTCACAGAAACAGTACACAGCGATTGCACAATCAAGTGTAATCTTTTAGTTGTAGGCGAGCGATAATTTTGCTGAGGTAGAGAAAAGGTAATATTAGAATGTTAAGATACGCCAAAGATACATAGCAGCATATTCCTACCATTAAAAAGTTTCCTGAGACAGAAAAATGAACTTAAAAATCGAGAAGTTATCCGGCGATCGTAGTCGTACGCCTTGGGTTTGTCCAAAATCTGAAAATAGATTCTTGTTGCGGGTCTTGTTGCAAGCGCAAGGAAAATCATCTTTATTCTTTTGAACAGCTCTAAAAATACTCACAATTTCCATGTTTCCTGTCATGACTGAGTTTATAAAAGAATAATGAATACATAATATGACAATTTCATCTAAGATGAGGTATTTTAGATCTAGAAATCACGAGGGGAATAAAGTGTGGCGAGTTGTCCGAAAAGGCACCCCACCCTGGACAACTCGACCGTGACGAGTTGTCCAGGGTACTGTGGCGAGATGTGGCGGGTTGTCTTGGGGGCGGGTTGTCTTTGTGGCGAGTTGTCTGGACCCCTACTAACTCGTGTAGCCCACTGATCTCTCTACGGATGAGATCAGTGGTGTAGGCGCATTGATTAACTGATTAAGCTGAAAAATACCCTCAACATTTTTAGACAATGTATTATCATTTCTCATATTACGATTGAAATCACCCAGCAAAACGATATTATTTGACAATGACATTACTTTCTCAATATTCCCTTCAAGGACGGTAAAAATGTACCGGGGGAGGAAGGTTTCCTGTATAAAACACCAACACAAATCGAACTACTATTTGTTCTTTTGATTTCTCACCACGAGTTCAAGCTCCTTTGTTTCAAGATCTGTGTTTCTTAAGTAGTTAAATTTCTCGTTAATGTTACATAATACACGACCACCAGTGGCATCCCTGTCATTTCTTTTAATTTTGTTACCATCGATAGAAATCATATGATTTGAAAAATCCTCATTCAACCATGTTTCGGATAGTCCTAAAATGTCGAAAGGGGTTTGACATTTTTCTTAAACTTCTCATGTTAAGGTATGCTAATTCAATAAAATTGAAATGTGGTTTATTTCTATAGATTTTCTGGGTTAGTTTCGCACTTTTGCCCACAGTCAAAGGCGGCATTCTTGGGCCCTAGCATGGGCCCATGGATGCTCATCGGACCGTTAGTACATACCTAAAACCCTGTGGCTAGTATGGGGCTTAGGAAGTGAGAAAAGCAAAAAAAGTTAGTCCGGGGTTAAGGATAGTACGGGGCTATAAGCAAAGTATGGGATTAAGCAAAACAAGTGTGAAAAGAGTATTAGAGTGGTGGCGATGCAGATTTTTCTTCTGCCCCAAAAACGTTTTTGCGCATTACGCCACTGCCCCTGGAATATTCCCCCCCCCCCCACCCCCACCCAACCCAATCCCAAAGTGCTTCCGGCCAAATTGGTTGCGATGTCAGGAATGCTCGTTTAACCTCTTTGGTAATCCTGGCAGTGACAACAAATATATTCCCCACTGAAATATAGTACTACTCTACTACTACTACTACTACTACTACTACTACTAATAATAATAATAATGATGATGATGATTACAATTTAACGACGACGGTGATGATGATGACGACAACGATGACAACAATAATAAAAAGTACTAATAATAACTGCAAGAAGGACAACAACACAGTAAATATCATCGAGGTCACCGTTCCCCATGACATCAACATCGCCGTCAAAGAAAGAGACAAACGTCTCAAGTATGAAGACCTCAGGATAGAGTTCGAGAGGATATGGAACGTTCAATTCATTTTAATTCAATTCATTTTATTTCAATTCATTTGATATCATTCTCCATTAAAACATTAAAACATTAAAACATTGCTCACAGAAACAGTACACAGCGATTGCACAATCAAGTGTAATCTTTTAGTTGTAGGCGAGCGATAATTTTGCTGAGGTAGAGAAAAGGTAATATTAGAATGTTAAGATACGCCAAAGATACATAGCAGCATATTCCTACCATTAAAAAGTTTCCTGAGACAGAAAAATGAACTTAAAAATCGAGAAGTTATCCGGCGATCGTAGTCGTACGCCTTGGGTTTGTCCAAAATCTGAAAATAGATTCTTGTTGCGGGTCTTGTTGCAAGCGCAAGGAAAATCATCTTTATTCTTTTGAACAGCTCTAAAAATACTCACAATTTCCATGTTTCCTGTCATGACTGAGTTTATAAAAGAATAATGAATACATAATATGACAATTTCATCTAAGATGAGGTATTTTAGATCTAGAAATCACGAGGGGAATAAAGTGTGGCGAGTTGTCCGAAAAGGCACCCCACCCTGGACAACTCGACCGTGACGAGTTGTCCAGGGTACTGTGGCGAGATGTGGCGGGTTGTCTTGGGGGCGGGTTGTCTTTGTGGCGAGTTGTCTGGACCCCTACTAACTCGTGTAGCCCACTGATCTCTCTACGGATGAGATCAGTGGTGTAGGCGCATTGATTAACTGATTAAGCTGAAAAATACCCTCAACATTTTTAGACAATGTATTATCATTTCTCATATTACGATTGAAATCACCCAGCAAAACGATATTATTTGACAATGACATTACTTTCTCAATATTCCCTTCAAGGACGGTAAAAATGTACCGGGGGAGGAAGGTTTCCTGTATAAAACACCAACACAAATCGAACTACTATTTGTTCTTTTGATTTCTCACCACGAGTTCAAGCTCCTTTGTTTCAAGATCTGTGTTTCTTAAGTAGTTAAATTTCTCGTTAATGTTACATAATACACGACCACCAGTGGCATCCCTGTCATTTCTTTTAATTTTGTTACCATCGATAGAAATCATATGATTTGAAAAATCCTCATTCAACCATGTTTCGGATAGTCCTAAAATGTCGAAAGGGGTTTGACATTTTTCTTAAACTTCTCATGTTAAGGTATGCTAATTTAATGGCATTTTCCTTTGAACAATCACAAAGTATATTGCAGGCGCGTAGCCAGGGGGGGGGCGGTGGGGGCGGTCGCCCCCCCCCCTAAAAAAAAAAAACGCCGGCCAAAAAAAAGAGAGAAAGAAAGAGAAGAAAAAAAGTAAGAGGACGTAGAAAGAAAAAGGAAAAGGAGTCGAGAACGGTACAACGGATCGTCTTCTTTCTCTAATAATTTAATGAAACGTCGAAGCTTCCGCGCTTCGCGCGGAACGGGGGGAAATTGAGTTCAAATTAAGGATTAAGAGTCGAGAACGGAACAAAGAAGCGTCTTCTTTCTCTAATAATTTAATGAAACGTCAAAGCTTCCGCGCTTCGAAAGAGGGGGGGGGGGGGGACTAAATACAGATAAGGATTAAGGGTCGGGAAAGGTACAACGAATCGTCTTCTTTGTCCAATAATACGTCAAAGCTTCCGCGCTTCACGCAGGAGGAGGGGGGGGGGGGGACTGAATTCAGACAAGCATTAAGAGTCGAGAACGGT